GCTCAGTCAGTTGAGCAGCTGACTTTGGCTCATCCCTCTGTTCTCCTCTCATGGAGACTGCATCATTTAAGAGGGGAAGCAGGGATCTGCCAAGTCATCTGAAGAGCAAGAGCTGGAACCTCAGACTCAGGCCAGTGGTTCCTGAACCCTCAGCTCACCACCATCATGTAAGGCAGTAAAACCAGACCGATCTAGGACCCCAGCTCTGGGAGATCAGGCCCTAGCTCCCCAGATGACTCTGACACCATCTGCCCAGACAGGCATGTGAGCAGCTTTGCTGGAAACTTGATTTCTGTCCCTGGCCCCTTGGAGGGACCTGCCTGGCCTCTGCCCTTCTGGCCAGCTGTGGGCTTCTCCTGGGCCCCCTCAGATACTCCCAGGGTGCTGCACCTTCTCCACCTCACAGGAAGGGCTTTCCACTAAACTTATGAGTCAAAGAGCATGTGGCAGGTGGGGGTGGAAGGCACCTGCAGGAGAAGGCCATGCTATTCCCACCTCCCCTACCCCAGCAACAGGATGGGCAGGGCTACATGTCTGTCCCACATGGCATACTCGGAAGGTGCCTGGTATTATTGGGAAAAGCCCCCACTCAGGAAGGCTGTCCCCCCCTAGAGTCACGAATGCCCTCCCCTAGGGGTGCCCCACACAGAAAACAGTGTCTGTGGGGGTTGGGGGAGGCAGAAAGAGGCCTGGCTAGGGTCATAGGACGTCATCACCGCTCTTCCTCTGACTTCCTTCCTACTCGTATTGGGGATCCCGGGTTTGCAAACAAGCCCCCCCTCCCCCTCCCCACAGGAATGGGGGTCCTCAGGGGCCAGGCTGGCCACTGCCTACTCTTCGTGAGTCACAAACGGACCTTGGGTTATGCTGGGATTCCTTCCTGGCTAATGATTGCTCAGCGGCCAGGCTTCCCATTCACTCATCTCTTCCACCAAAGCAGACACAGACGAAGGAGTGGAGCCAGAGCCCGCCTTCTCCACTAACAGTGACGACAATGAGTAATAATAACAGTGGCAGCTGACACTGAAGGCCTCCACATCCGGCTTCGTGGCCCCCGACTACAGTTTACATTGAGGAAACAAGTTTACACAGGCAGTGATGAATTGCCCCAGGTCACAGGAGGCACACTGGGGCTGAGGGAGTGGACAGAGTCTCCCCTTGACCAAACCAGTCGGGCTCCTCTGAGTTGTTTTCCAATAGACCTCATTCTTGGGAATTTCCCTAAGAGCCCAATTTTAGCAAAAACCGTGCCTCGACATCCTTAATAGCGGATTACCCTCAACGTCTAACCAGATTCCTCATTTCTTCCCCCCACCCCAGCCCCCAGTAACATCTGATTGCCCTGGCCTGCCCATTAGGTAGGTTTAGCCAGAATCTCCCTTACCCCTGATGTTTCCTTTTAGTAACTTCCAATCGATGACCGCCCCCCCACCCCCACCCCACACCCTGCTCCTTGTCTATAAATTCCCCCTTCCCTTGTTATAGTCAGAGTTGGGGGTCCATCTCTCTCCCCTGCTGCAAAACTCCCCTGCAGTGGTCCCTATACCTGTATCCTGCTGAACACCGTTCACCTTTCTGTTCTAATGAGGTTGTAATTTTTTTTCTTTTTAAATACAGTCCATGTTCTCTACTCCTGTCCCATCTTGTCCTACTGAAGGAAAAGCAAGGGAGATTATTTGCTGAGGAGCACCTCTCAAAGCACCTGTGAGGGGAAACGCAGACTGGGGCCAGATGGCAGAAAGGGGCAGAGAACAGCCAGAGTTTGGAGAGATGCCCCAAGCCAGCCCCCATAACACCACTTGCTGTCTTCTTCCCTGGGACAGGACAGGGTGCTCCTCTGACATGTCCATGTGTCCGAAGAGTGTTTGAGAGCACAGGTCATGTGCACGGAGGAATATTTTGCTTATATCCGGCAGTAATGTGGCAAAGGGTTTCCAAAGAGGTCTCAATACAATAAAAGAAGAGGACAAGTATCTGTTCTTTTCTCTCTTTCACTGAGACCCCCCCAGTTACCCACCAGTGCTCAGAGGCCCTGGTTCAAATCTCACTGCCTCCTGGATTACTGGAAGGAGTCACCTATTGGAGAATTTGGATGATTTGAGTCAAAGGTTGGTGGAATCTGAGCCTCCTTTAGCCTTGTGTAATGGGCTGAAAAAAGGGGCCAGACACCCAGCCTGTCTGCATCCTCAGATCGCCATTGGGCTCTGCAAGATGGGGGTCAGGGCTGGGTGTGGAGAAGGGATGCCCAGGCTGGAACAGATGCAAGCATGGAGAGGGAGAAGGGAGGGGTAGAAAGAGGAACACATTAGTTGTGAAGCAGCAGAGCAGAGCCCAAGCTGTGACTGTTGCCCAGTAATGCCAAAACATGTCAGTTTTCAAAGATGTCCAGCACCAGCATGCTCACAGAATAGCAAAATCTGGAAAACTTAGTGTCCATTAAGAGCAGAATGGCTCTGGGGCGCCTGGGTGGCGCAGTCGGTTAAGCGTCCGACTTCAGCCAGGTCATGATCTCGCAGTCCGTGAGTTCGAGCCCCGCGTCAGGCTCTGGGCTGATGGCTCAGAGCCTGGAGCCTGTTTCCGATTGTGTCTCCCTCTCTCTCTGCTCCTCCCCCGTTCATGCTCTGTCTCTCTCTGTCCCAAAAATAAATAAACGTTTGAAAAAAAAAAAAAAATTTAAAGAGCAGAATGGCTCAATGATGTGGTTGATTCAATCCATGGGATTCTCTGTAAAGCCAAGAAGGTGAACGCAATCTATGTGGAAATACAGAGTTAGATCTCAAGGACACTGGGGGGTCAATGTCTCAAGGACACTGGGGGGCTGCAGAGTGGTGAGTGTCTGCATTGGGCATGCGAGCCATTCCCAAACATCACCCCAACTTTGCAGTGGGTGTACGTATCGGTCAAGGTGCGACGCATGCTGAGCTCATGGGGGTGACCCTGGTTGGGGAAGGTGCCTGGCTCGTCAAAGATCCTTGGATAGGACCCTAAGAGTGGAACAACTGAAGAGCACTGGCTTGCATTTCTGCTTCTTCCACCCAGAAGCCTTTTGCCACCAAGACCCTACAACTGGCTCAATGGTGTGCCAGGCACATGGGGAGCAAGGAGGAACCATCTCCTTCTCCCTTAGCATCTAAGTCACAGGTAGGACTCAGGTCCAAGACATCCACTGAGTGCCCCTGGACTAGGAGCTGGCCTACACAGACTCTGCCTATTGAAAGAGGATTTCAACTACCTCCAATACGATCTCAGTCCGTACTTCCTCACTGATGAAGTTCTTTCCAGCTCATCTCTTAACTACGGCAAAAGAATTAGCGAGCAAAGCATCCCCTGAGAACTGAAGCTACCCCTCAAGTAATAAGGACTATCCTGATGTCAGCAAGACACGACATGACTGACCCCAAGACAATGCTTCACCTGACCATCACTGCCCACCTGCATACGCCCACCGACCTTTGTCCCACACTTATCTCATATGAACCTGGAAGCATTTTTGGCACGTTGGAGACAGTCTTTGGGATTCTAGTCCCGTCTTCCCAGTGTTGGCCTCTCTGAAATAAATTCCCTATTTCACCACCACTCCTCTCTGTGCCTTTGGATTTTATCAGCAGTGAGTGGCAAACCTGGTCTGTTTGGGACCCCCTGTGCCCCAGTTACATCTTCTGGGAGGGGCCAAGAATCCTGCTTTCCCTATGCTGGGCAAGGCTGCCCCACTGATCCCCCCAACATGCACCCCACACTTCAGTGGGCTCACTGGAGTATTGCCCCAGGCTGGTCTTACTGCCCACCTTAGGAGAGTCCAGCCCCAGGTCCTGTCTGTAGGGTCAGCTGAGGCCTTGGACCTGCTCTCCTAGGAAGGTATGGGATGTGGCACGAGGGTGGGGAGGTGCTTCATTAGTTTCCTTTCTCTGTGTCTTTGTGTGGGGGTAGTGTCTGCCCCCTGGCTGGGTGATGTCTGCTGG